GAAGGCAGAGACAAGAAAAGACGAGGCGAAAGAAAGAGAGAGAAAGGGGGTGATACGTGGGTGTCTGCATGCATGTGTGGCAGTGACGCCGCAGCATCATCGCAGGGCCCCAGAGCAAACGGCACGGGAGGTGTGTATATGTATATGTATATAAAGTTAGTAAACACAAAAAGGGAGAAGTGGCGGGGACGAGCCACATGTCCGCCGGGAACGGCGGAACAGCACGCGAGTCACTTCCGGTGCGGGGGCGGGCAACTTCACTTCGGGACTGCACTGCAGATGTGCTCAGCGCGCGGGTGAAGTTGAAGGGCGTCACGCAGGAATTTCCGCAACAGACGCAAACGGGGAAGCACAGCACCCCCCGCTGTGGTGGCGCCTCATCGTCCTTGCACATCCAGTGGAATCGCAGACCGGCAGGCGAAAGCAAAAGACCAAATACACTCATACACACACACACAACGCAAGAAACCACAATGACCCAAATTGGTCGAGGAGCCCCGTGCACCGCGGCGCACAGCTTGCACGCCTTCCAAGTTGCGGCCCATAGTCTCGTGGCCGACGCACTCCGGCAGCGGCTCACCCAACACGCGCGCGACGAAGGCGTGCGATGTGATGTCTAATCACTCTTTTTGTGTGCACCATGGGCGGCGGCGGCGGCGGTGTGCCTCCCCCAGCAGCGTCGCAGGAGAAGTCCGGCCGAGAGCGGCAGCAGGACAAGGATTGCTACCAGCAACGCCGCCTTAGCCACCTCCCGCCATTGCCGTGGGAGCAAAGGCTGTTGCGTCTTGCTCAGCTGCTGCGCTAGTCGTCGCCGCGTCGCATCCTCATTCGCAATGTTCTGAAGAGTGGCGGGTCCACACATCTGTTGCCGCTCGCAGAATGCGCCCGCCTCGCCCAGCTGGTGGGCTGCGTCGCGCTCCGTCGCAGACGCCTCGTCGGGCTTCTTGCTCTTCGGCAGCAGCGCCGCAAACGCCTCCAGGGCGAGTGGCTCATTCACTTCCTCCAGCACAGCCGCGCAGAGGCCATCAACGGCGTCCCGCACCGCCCTTCTTGAGCCGAGCACGTCATCCTCGTGCAGGCGCAGCTCCTCCCGCATTTCCGCCGCACCTTCGCGCCCCGAGGCGTCGACGGCCCGCACTTTGTGTTCCGCACGATGGAGTTCATGAACGCGGCGGCAGAGACCGTCGATGGCATCGTGCACGTTCACCACGAGACGCTGCCGCGCGCCCGCCCGCACCGCGTCGCTGTCGCTGCGGTCCGCCGCTGCAGCCGCCGCGCGTTGCATCCCCGCAGCGGGCCGCAAGACCTCCTCGCGGAACACCGTCGCCAGCGCCACGCAGGTGCGGCAGCGGTACTCCCGCCTGGTCACTTCCGCCGCATCCTCCGCGCCGTCACCGTCGGCCAGCGTCGCCCCGAACACGTCTGAGGGCAGCAACGACAGAAGCAGCAAAAGCAGCCACAACGATGCGAGGGCGCAACCGGGCACCCGCCGCAGTGTCTGCGGCATTGAACCACCGCCAGTACTGTCGGCTACCCGTGACGGCTGGCGTGAGTGTGTTGCGTGTGTTTGTGGGGCTGCGCGTGCGATTGTCGCTTGAAGTGTGCGTCCACGGCGGCTCTAAGAGAAGGAACAAGAGTGATCGAGGGGAAGTTGGGCGTGAAGGGAAGCGGCACCGAGGAAGCACGCGGCGGTCGCGGTGGGAGGAGCAGCCGAGGCAAGAGGCAGCGCTCCGCTCCCAGGCACACCGCCGTCACGGGCCCACAGACAAAAGTAGTGTAAACGCAACACTGGCGTCGTCCTTCACGCGAAAAACTGAGAACGACGCCGTGTGCGTGACGACGCGGCCACACAACAAGACAATCACTAAAGACGAAGAAGAAACGAAAAAAAAAAATGTCGCATCCTCGCCGCCCTGCACGTTGGTGATGTGAATGCGCTCTGCATCTGCGTGCGTGTGTGTGTGTGTGTGCGTGCATACAGAAGGAAGGAAAGAAAGCGGGTGCGAAGGGTGGGGCGGCGTATCGGCTGGCTGCGCATGCACGACGCACACGCGCCACGGGGAAGGCGCGCAACAGACTGAGCGCCGCGCACAAACCCCGCACCGCGCCCCGCCGCCTGCCGCAGCCCTCCGCCCCGCACGCACACGCACACACACACACGCAAGAGAAAAAAAAAAGCGAGAGCTGCAGAAGACACGCGCTCGCCCCTCCGCCACAAAACACACACGCGAACGCACAACGCCGAAAACATTCTTTTTTTCTTTGACGGCAGCAACTCCGCCCGTCCCCCCTAAAAACAAAAAACAAAAAACGGGCGATTGTCGGGAAACTCCGTGAGCGCCCTCCGGCGTGCGTGTGTGCCGCGCGGCCAAAGCAAACAACGAGCGGAGAGGTGAAAAACAAAGCAGAACAAAAAAAACGCAAAATAAAATGTGAGTCGTATGCCTCCTCCGGCATCCGTCAATGAAGGGAGGGGGAAAAAAATGAGGGCAGCGGGGAGGGAGGGGAGCTTCTTTTGCACGCAAGATGCCAAGGAAGCCACACACACATCCCGACGAGAACTGAAAACGAGGCTGAGGACAGGAAAGAAAGAAGAAAAAAAAACAGGCAGCCGCGTTAGGAGAATACAAAAAAAAAAGGAACGTATATCACCCCCGCAGAGATACTTTACACACGCAGCAGCTTCCATGTCTCCTCCTCTGTCATTCACGACGGAATTGCCGTGGACACGGTGAAAAACATCAGAAATGTACACAAGCAAGTAATGCATGTACATCCTTGCCTTACTCTTACACGCACTCCTACTTCCTTTTCTCTATTTACACATTAGTATATATATGTAATCGTACATCTCACTTTCCTTTTCCTCTTCTTTTTCTTCCTCTTCCTTTTCTTCCACGCAGCCCGGTGTCCCTCTTTCCTCCCCACGCTGCGTGGGTGGTGTGGCCCACCAACACGCTTTATAGCCGCACTCCTCCCCCACCACTGGCAATGCCTCTTTCCGTGTCTTTCGCAAAGACACCCGCAGTCCGCCCAGACGGCGTTGTCGCAAGAGGGATTGCCGACGCCACGCAGAAGCGCAAAGGCGGCGGCGCTGTCTATCGCACATGCACGCACGCGCTCTCTCCCTCCCGCGGCTCTGCCTCCCGGTGACCACCTCCCGCCTCCTCCTTTAATTCCCCCCACGCCCGGCGGCATTCAAATGGAGCCGTTGTGTTCCACGCCCCGTACGCGCCCAAGCGCCCCAGCCCAGCCACCCCCCAAACCCAAACCCAAACCCAGCTGCCGACGAGGACAGAGGGCGGGCGAGCGAAGAAGAGGAGAACAGTGCGTCCCCAGCCTCCCCCGCCACGTCTCCCCCCGCAGAAACAGAAAACAAAAAAAACACATCCCTCCTTTGTTACTTCTTCCCACAGTTGTTCTCCCCTCCCCCTAGCCCGTTGCACTACCCCCTTCCCCAGCAGTTCCTGCTAGTCCCATCACATTCCCCGCATGTTCATCTACGAACCCGTTTTCCCCGCCCGTGTGCGACCACGACACGAGACGCCCCCGCATACACGGCCCATAAACAAGAAGAAACACCTCCCACCATCACCAAAGAGAATTACATCTACTACCGTAGCACCCCTCTCCCCACCACATCCCTCGCACCATAACCGCAGTCCCTCCCTACATAACCATAGTCACCGTGCAACTGTAAAAAGAAAAAAAACAAGCAAATGAAAAGGGCTGGTCCTATCCTAACTCTATGCCCGCATCTCATTGAGATTATATGTATATAAATAAAATATAGGACATGTACGCATATTCACACGCACACGCACACACACAGACGCAAATAGGGATATAGTCATAGTAATAATAACAGTAACTGTGTGTGTGTGTGTGTGCGTGTGCATGCATCACATCCTCCTCACATCCTATTTTCCTTCGTCCTCTTGTTTATATTTACTGTTCCTTTGCCACAGCATCCGTCGTGCGGGCAGCGGTGGGCACAACAACCCCGGCAAGGCGCGCCACCACCGCCAAAGCAGTCGGACATATAGATAGATAGAGGTATATATACATAAAGATATATGTATATGTATATAAGGCAGGTAAACTGATAAAGTACTATTTCAAAATGTGAAGAAGGTGCATCAATAAAAGAGGGGAAGCCTCACAAACACTCACACACGCATATCGAAACAACAACAAAACAAAAACAAAAAAAGATCGCAAAGCAAAGCAGGGATGATACAACGGAAAAAAAAACAAAGAACTACACACGACAATACACTCGACCGAAATACCGCATGAAACGCAAACAGCAGAAGGGAAAAGAAAGGGGAAAAAAAAGAGTTCGCAGATAACCCAAAAAGGCACCTATGGACGTATATGCATACATAGATGTGCATAAATAAGAGGCGAGACACACACGCACAGAAGAAGGGGGAGAGTGGCTGGTGTGTGAAGAAGGAGACCTCAGCCAGCCGTCATGCAACGGTCTGCACGCTCAGGGTAGTTTTGCAGTGTGGTGTTTGCCGCAGTCCATTGCCTGTCAGTTCCGTTCAATACCCCTGGTGCAACCTCAAGCTCTTCAGAGCGTAGGCGGCTGCACAACCTGCCATGAGGCGTCGCCTCTGGGCAGCGGGAAACACCGCACCATGTGAAGTGGTGGAAGTGTTGACCAGAACACCTCCTCCGGCGCCGCCTCGCCTGCGCCAAGGGATTGCAGGAACGTCTCCAGAAAGTTTTGGTCCTCCAACTGTGGAAAAAGAACGGGTCGAAGGCGATGCACACCGCCTTCAAGCAGCGTCTGCTCCAACGCCGGCAGGGTGGCGCCAAACACCTCCTTTGAGCGATTCGCGGCAAGGACGTAGACGCAGCGAGTCACCACCGGGTGCGCCACCTCCGTGGAGAGGCCAATGGTGAGGAGGAGGTTCAGCACGTAGGATTGAAGGTGCACGTCGTGTGTGTGGTTCTCCGCATCAGGCGCCTGCAGCGTCTCCAACGGGACCTCGTATTCATCCAACCGCGGAACATCCATGGCGACCCCCAGAGCGGTGGGTTCCTGCTCCTCCTCTCCGCTAACATCGATGTGGCCGAAGAAATCAAAGGCCTGAGAAATGGGGTTGAATGTGCAGGACGTCTCCTCAACGGCGGACCCGTCAAAGCCAACTGGCAACACATCCTCCTCCGTCTCCTCATCTTTGGCCTTCATCGCTGCAGCCTCGCACACGGTGTGCGGTTTATCCGGGGCAGCAGGGACCACAGAAGCCGTTTGGGAAAATGTTCGCCCAAGCCGCTTCACAGGTATGGAGTTGCAGCACAAAACAGCACTGTGAATCGACGACAACGACTCCTCGTTGTTGCCCTTTTGAAGAAAAAGGAGAGAAAGCAGGAGGTGGGCGAGGAGGCGCAGCTGCACCACGCGTTGCGTCGCCTCTGCTTCTCCCCCGCCTAACACCACTCCGTGTTCCTCCAGCGTGTGTGAGACCCCCGCCAAGCCGATTCGGCGGCCTGGGTGGCAACCGTGACCGTCCAACACGTTGAGCAGAGCCCGAAGTGCACCCACCGCGTCGTAGAATTGCTCCCCGGTGGCGGCAAACACTCGAGCGCCGTGCATCGCAGCACGCGCCAACGCCACCCCACGCTCCACCTTCGAGTCCTGCGGGGGTGGAAGTGAAGAAAACGACGTTTGAAACCCAGACGAAACTACTGGGAACTGAGAAACGAACGGTGGGTTCAGCCTCTCTTCGTGTGATGTAGCGCCGTCGCTGCGGCCATCGTGATTACTGGAGGAGCCCAGTTGCTGGTCCATCGACATCGGTTGAAACAACTGCGAGTAGAGCGGCGGGGCGAGGGCGCTGTCACCGGCGACAGTGCCGTTTACGTTCGTGGCAGCGGCATGCACGTGTGGCGTGATGCCCGCAGGCTCTTCATCGGAGTTCGAGACGGAGTGGGAATGGTACCCCGTTTGTGTCGGTGGACACAGTGAGGAGGCAGAGTTCTCTTGTGGTTTTGCGTGGTGCCTTGGTGCCGGCGGGTGCCAGGTGCCATTGCTGTGGCTCAGCTCATTGTTGAGGCTGGCGGTAGTATTGTTTGTGTTGCTGCTGCGCGAAGAATTCTGTGCATTCGCCTGCGTGGGCGCCACTCCGCCCTCCTTCCGCTTGAGGTTGTAGTAGCTATCGACCGCCTCCTTCAGGGTGCGGCAGGCGAAGTTGCCGGAGCCAAATATGCAGGACGTCTTTGTCGGTGGGTTGGCGTCATGGAAGACGCGGTCAACAATCGCTTGCTTAGCGGCGTTGCACTTCAGCCGCAGTGGTGGCTTTCCTGGACCATTCGGCAGTTCCATGCCGCTGCGTCGCAGCATCCTTTCCGCGCCGCGACGGTCGGCGAACTCAACGAAGCCGTATATCCAGTTCTGTGCGTTGGTGGAGTTGCCGCAAATGCGCACCCGCAGGTACTCCCCACACTCCGCGCAGAGCGCAGCCAACTCGCCCTGCAGCATACCCGTCGGGAGGAAACGCAGGTGCACGGTCCGGGCGAGGAGGTCAGTGTCTGCAGCCTCCTCCTCCACGAGCCGCTGTCGCTCCTCCTTCGAAAGGGATTTAAACTCGCGGTGTAGGCGTTGCACTGGATTCTCGCCGCTGTTCGGCCCGCGGTACGTGAACGGGTAGCGCGCCGCCGCCGCCGCCTCCGCCTCCGCGTCTGTCGTCACACTGAAGGGCAACGGGAGCCCACCGTTGTCGTCCAACGGTGCTTGCCTCCTCGTCATTGCACGGAAGTTCTTCTCCACCGTGTGAATAGCCTGCTTTGACCGCCGTCCCATTCTAGACGGATCCCCTTGCCTTTGCGTGCTTCTTGTTCTTCGCCCACCGCTGCCGTTCCCCGGCTGCCGCCTCGTCTCTCGTCGCTGTGAAATTCAACTGGTGCCTCCTCCTGCGTGGGTCTGTGAGTGTGTGCTTGTGCGTGCGTGGCAGACTCCTGTTGCCTCACACGCCTCTCTCCGCCACACAGACACGTGCACGCAGCCGGCCCCAACAGTCGCCGTAGGCTCCCTTCCTTTTCTGTCGCCTTTCGTGTCTGTGACAAACGCCGTGGGCTTCGCTTTCTTTTTCCGTGTTCGCTTCTACGGCCGACAGCTACCCACCCTCTTCTCTTCGTCGCGCCCGTTCAATTTCCTCTCTCGCCCCCGCCTGCTTCGGCAGCTGCTGATATATATTTTTTTTCTTTGCTGTTTTCTCCTTTTCTGAGTTCCTTGTTGTAACTTTTTTTGTTTTTGTACTTTTATTTTTTTCCCCGTTTACGTTGTTGTTGTAGTAATATTTTCTTTATACTTTCGCGTGGTGTATATCGTTGTTTGTTTGTGCCTTTTGCTCCGTGTGAAGTTGTGTCTTCCGCGGCGCTGCACCCGTCGTCTGCCGCCGCGGCGAGGGAGTCAGACAGACAGACACGCGCAGGAAACAGGCCGGCAGGCAGTCGCCCAGGCGCGGTGAAGGCCCCAAGATAAATATGTATTTATTTGGAGGGAGAGGGAGAGGGAGAGGGAGAGAGAGAAAGGAAGAGGAAGATGCGTGGGCAATGGGGAGGGAAGAGGCGGCGGGGGAGAAAAGAAAAAAAAGGAGGAGGAAGAGGGAGGCGTGGCGCCGCCCCAAGAGCCGCCCTCACGATGGCATTCCTTCCACACAGCAAAGCACGCAAGGGATACTTTGGCGGCACACTTCTTCGCTTCTCTGGTTTTTTCCCCCTTCTTTTTTTTTCCGTTTTCCTCCTCGCCGCTTCTGCAGCGGGGCGGGCACGCAGGGAGAGAACCCCCTCCACTTGGGGAATCCCCCGCCGCTGCACAAGGCCGCATGGAAGCGCCGAATCGTATTTGTGTGTGTGTGTGCGCGCGCGTGTGTATGTGTGTGTGCGTGTTTTTTGTTCTACTCCAGTTCTCTTTTTCTTTCACCCCCCCCCCAAATCCCTTCCACATTTCCGGCCACTGTTTGTTTTGTGTTTTTCGGCATCACCGTTGGGGTGCACGGAAGCGGGTTTGCGTGGGCCGCCTGTGCGGATCCCATCTTTTTATCTCTCTCCCCACGCGCACACATACACACGCGCACACACCAAGAGAGAGAGGGGGGAAGGAAGGAAGGAAGGAAGAGGAGCACACATAGACGTTAGGGACAGAGAAAGAGAGCCTTTTAAAAAAGGAAGAATAGGGCGCCCCCCACACCCCAATGCATGCTTTCATGTATATCTATCTAGCCCCACAAAGAAACTGGGGAGGGGGGGAGAGGGAAGGGAACATGCCCACAACTGGGTATGATCAGTGCGAGGTGTCGTAGTTCGCCCGTGGTGCCGGCCTACACGCGTATGTGCATGATTATGTATAGTCCCACCAGGTGTATGCCATGGGTGTGAGGCGGCAACTCCTGTAATCCCTTCCTTCCCTCCTCCCCTCTCGCCCTCCTTGCGCGCGTGTGTGCGTGGGCGCGTATCCCTCTTCGTCTCCCTGCACTAGCAGCGTACGTGCATGCTCAAGCGCATTACTTTTTTACTTCTTGTCCTGCGAACCCCACGCGCCGAGTCTTTCGCCCCCGTTTGTTCTTCTGACGGCTGATGCTCCGCTGGCATGCCCGCCCCCAGACTGCAGGTATCATCGTCAGACACACACACAGACATATATATATATATATATGTATATTTATATAAACAAGCACCCAACGACGGACACGGCATGGACGGCAGATTGCAGGAAGAGCCCGGGACAATACACAGCGCCCTCATAGGAGGAAATGATGAAGTCATGCAAAAGAAAAAGAAAACGGTGAGCAACTCTTTGTTAAATTTTGTTCTTGTTTCTTTTTTATTTTTATTTTTTTCTTCATGCTCGCTGTTGGTGGTGGATTCAACGCAGCGGTGTGTGCTGCTCGTGTGCATGCGGGCGACAAGCGCAGACGCATCCCGCGCCGCACGCCGCCACTGGCCACGTCCGCCGCAGCAAAGACGCAGTTAACCGCAGCGGGCTATCTGCACGCATGCAGGTATGTGCCTTGCGTGCGGAGGGCGCGATTCTCCCTCTTCCCCACCCTCCGGGTAACAAAAACGGCAGTGAAGTGGGCGGGCAAAGCGAGCCGCATGGAAAACCAGAGCGCCGTAAAGCAAATAGAAGAGGCCCAGCTCGAGTTGAGTGCAAATGTGCAGCAAAAAAGGGAGCGAGGCTGGCGCTTCAAACTGCCTCTCTGCGGTCATGCCGCCTCCTTCAGTACTTCTCTGTGTGTGCGTGTGTGGGGTGGGGGAGGTGCAGCCCTTTTTTTCCCCCCTCCTCTTCTTCCCTGGAGGCGAAGGGGAAGGCTGTGTTTTACGCATCGTCGCTCCCGCTGCCTCAAGCTTCCGCTGCCCTGCCGCTGCTCCCCCTTCGCGCCGGCGAAGTTCGTTGCTCCCCGCACTCTCCCGCCTCCCGCGCGGAGGGGCGTGGTTGAGGGCGCGCCCGCGGGCGCCACAGCAATAGCAAAAGCATCCACACACAGAGAGAAAGAAACAAAACACCCCACTCGTCCATGAGGCAGAGTTAACCGCCAACAGCGTGTGTGGGCGTGGAGGGGGAAAGGGGGGGAAGACGCCACGAGGTGGTCACGCGTGGTCGGCGCCTTCCGCCCGGTCGGCGCACGGGGGACCGTGCGCTTTTGAGGTGGCGCTCGTCACCGGCTTCGGCCTCCCTGCAGAGGGGCTCGCCAAGAGCTCGTCAAAGAACTTTGCGCAGCGCTCCTTGGGCGCCGCCGGTACCGTTCGACCACCCCCATGCTGCCGCCCAGAGTGGACCTCGACGCTGCCGCGCCGCAACGCTGTCATCGACAGACAGCGACGACAGCTGTTGTGGCCGCTGCGAACGGCGCCACTCCCACGCGTCCTTGGGCTAAAGAGGAACTCTCTACAGCCCTCAACGCGCGCCTCGGCGTTCACCGAAGCAACAACCGCCTCTACACGCGTGAGTCTTGC